TCTTAAAAATACCAAACTATACAGTTGTATCTGCCAAGTACCATATACAGTGGTACCTTGGTACTCAAACGGCTTGGATCCCAGACAAATCAGCTCCCGAACACCGCAAACCCGGAAGTGAGTGCTCCGGTTTGCGAACGTTTTTCAGAAGCCGAATGTCCAATGTGGCTTCCGCTTGAGTGCAGGAAGCTCCTGCAGCCAATCGGAAGCCGCGCCTTGGTTTTCGGGAATTGAACAGATTAATTTCGAGAACCGCTGTAATGCATTTGAAGTGTTACAGCAGTGTTTGATTTATTGTTGAATATATTTCAGTTTTTTTCTATATTTCCCCCTGTTAGCTTCAAAAATTCTCAAAATGTTTTATCGCTACAGCAGGTAGGACTTTGGTTTCTCAAAAAGCGCTGCCCTGCACTGCGCAACAAACTGCTTTTGTGACTCACGGGGATCTCAAAAGCAGTAAGTGACACGGTTGAGGGTCTGCTGTTCAGGGAAATAAAGGCCTAAAGCAGCTCTGTGGGTTGTGGCCAGCTTCGTATTTTCTCTGTTGCTGTTGCCCCCCATTTTGTGGATTAATGTGGCTGTGAAGATTCCTGTTTAACAATATAAATGGTGAACCTTTTTTTCCTCCCCTGCCCGTATCAGGACCCAGACACGAGAACGTGGCACCATTATGTATATCAGCCAAAATATCTTGATCAGCAGAAAGCGGAGGATCTGGAACGTGAAAAAAAGTTAAAAGAAGATAGCCCCAGAAAAACACCTAACAAGGAAGCCTCCTTCTCCAGCATTCCTGTCTCATTAAACAGCATTAAAGAGGAGCCTAAGGAGATCAAGCGTTCCGATTCCCAATCACTGGAGGAGAACAAGATCAAAAATGATGATCGAAAGACTCCTGTGAATTGGAAGGAATCCCGGGGCGCCAGAGTGGCGGTTTCCTCTCCAATGACTCAGCACCAGTCGTACATACAGTACTTGCACGCTTACCCTTACCCCCAGATGTATGATCCAAATCACCCTGCGTACCGCGCTGTGTCTCCCGTTCTCATGCACAGCTACCCAGGTGTGTACTCAATGCTGCTAGACAGACATTAACTGGGCCGTAGCTTTATCTATTTTGACAGTGCCTGTTAGCAGCGAAGGAGAATTAGAAGCTTCACAGATGACATTTGTTTTGCAAAGTTCTAGGAGCGAAATAGATTTAACACAAGCTGTTACTTTTTTATGAACTGTCAACATTCCCAGATAACAGTTTCCACATCCCGTGTCATTCGGCTGCGGCCATTACACTGACAGATAGTTTATTGCCTATAAAAATATCCTAAGCACTTACTGTCAGAATCATTATAGTTCCTATTCCTTTCACTTAAGAGGGACCCATAAATGTTTGAAATGGCTCTAAGCTCAGCCCTCTTTATAACCTCCCGTTCATTAGGCTGAATTAGCTGGGGCGGGGCGGGAGATCAAAGCGCACGGGTGCAACTTTGGTAATCTGAATTGGATGCATTTGGAGTGGCCCGCCCCCAAATGTAAACAGTAACGTGATACGGCATTTATTATTTATCTGCAGGGGCCTATCTGTCGCCGGGATTTCATTATCCTGTTTATGGAAAGATGTCCGGAAGAGAAGAGGTGGAAAAAGTCAATACCAGCCCTACTATCGGTGTAAAATCTACCACTGAATCGAAAGCACTGGATTTGCTTCAGCAACACGCCAACCAGTATCGCAGCAAGTCTCCTGCTGTAAGACATCTCTTGTTATGATTTGTACACCTTGGGGATAGTCAGGATTTGGGGGAAGAGAGAACACACTGGTGGTATACTTCTGAAACAGGGCTGGGGTTTCAGCAGGTTCTATGTGTACTAATTCAAGTACCTTATTTGTTAAGCCCACCGGGTCTTCCTATATGACCCCCAAAGCTTGCTCCTTCAGAACCCCTGCTAGAAACATCGCTGAAGCCCATGGTTCCCAGTATGCATGCACAGTATCATAAAATAAAGTGCATGAGACAATGTCCATGGACGTTGGATGCCTCCTTGACCGGTCAATTATACTGTAGCTGTGCAAACGGGAAACCATTTTTTATTTTGTTTTATTTAGTTATATACTGCTTAAAGCCAAAATATGCTTCTAAGCCGCTTCCTTTTATAAATAAAAGAAATGACGGGTATAGATCATCTGATTTTCTGCAAAACATCTTTATAGCCGAAAGTGCACTGATTTGGGTAGAAATTCAGATGTACTGATAGTTGGCTCCAGGGCCCGGTTTGCACATCGTTAAAAGCAAACTATAACAAGCCTGGAGAGCTCAGGTTGGAATGTGGTGCCGATAACTCCACGGTTGCAGGTTTGACCTCCGTATGGGACAGCTGCATATTTCTGCATTGCTGGGGGTTGGACTAGAATTCAGGGATGAGCAACCTTTTTCAGCAGGGGGCCGGTCCACTGTCCCTCAGACCTTGTGGGGGGCTGGACTATATTTTGGAGGGGAAAAATGAACAAATTCCTATGCCCCACAAATAACCCAGAGATGCATTTTAAATAAAAGGACACATTCTACTCATGTAAAAATACGCTGATTCCCGGACCGTCCACGGGCCAGATTTAGAAGGTGATTGGGCCGGATCCGGCCCCCGGGCCTTAGTTTGCTTATCCATGGACGAAATGATCCTCAGCGTCCCTTCCAACTCTATAATTCTATGCTGGTGTACCCTGCTGAAAAGTCCTTGCTGCGCTCCTCCCTCACCGCTGCTGTTGCTACACTACCAGGAAAAAATGCCAGAATTTGCCTTGTCACAACAGTCAGACCTGAGGTTAAGAGTCGTTTCCTCCAATAAGCTAAGACAGCTGGTTTGTTCAGAGAGAAACAAATCGAGATTCAGCCAGCACCACAAGCCAGAGTATGGCTTATTACCTATTGGCATGTCAGGAACGGAGAAGGAACACAACAATAACTTTATCAGCAACGTGCACCGAAGCACATTCAAATTAAACCACAGTTTGTTTTTTAACTCTGGGGTTAATGTGCAGCCCAGACCCTATATGTTGCATTATAACAATAACTTCTTATTTTGCAACTAATAATAAGATAAAGTTAAGGAGGCAGGGAGGTTAATTTTAAATTCTATATTGTTTCTGTATGAACTGGGTAATTATTTTACTTACCCTCCCCAAGGGACAAGCATAGACTTTAAGCTAACTAGAACATACACGCGCATACCAGAAGGGATTCTCTTCCAAACATTTTTTTTTCTTTTCAGTTTCCCTATCCAAGCGTAAAACAATTGTGTGTTTTTAAATAAGTCAGGCCGCATTGTAATTGCGGAAACAAAAGCCACTTATCCTAACCTTCAATTAAAGCCGTTTTTTAAAAGCCTCCCAGACCAAGGGAGGCAGCAGCGTGCCTAGTGAGAAATGAAATCTGCTGAAATGTAGATACAGGCTGAGTCAGAGAGAATCCTGCAAACCATCAGAATGTGATCTTCTGCATCCGCAAGCAAAGCGTTTATTGTTTGGGTGCCTTTTTCTTTCCAGCCTGTAGAGAAATCTACATCTGAGCGCGAAAGGGAAGCGGAGAGGGAGCGAGATCGACATTCCCCTTTTAGTCAACGGCATCTTCATACCCATCACCACACCCATGTCGGAATGGGCTACCCACTAATTCCTGGTCAATATGACCCGTTTCAAGGTGAGCTGCGTCTTCCTGTTTGGAATCATTAAAGTGGCTGAACTTGACTGACTTGGATCGCACGTAGCACTGAACCACAGTGTAGTATTATGGCAACAATCCACTCCAGCCCCTTTCCTATTGTGCACTGCAAGGAGATCAGAAGCCGAAAGTCCCCCTCTCCACCTCCAGTGTAACTGCAAGGAGGATATTAAGAAGCTTCCATTCTAAAGATTATGTCTGAGCCTTAAAATGTGGTTCATCTACCAGGGTTTTCCAAACTTGGGTCTCCAGCTGATTTTGAACTACAATTCCCATCACCCCTGACCACTGGTCCTGACAGCTAAGGATGATGGGAGTTGTAGTCCCAAAGCTGCTGAAGACCCAAGTTTAGGAAACCCTGATCTAGACTGGTTAATGAAAGCAAGCTTCAGTCCCCCATGGTGTGCAAGTTGGTTTGTTTCCATTGATAATAGTTAAATCTGACTACAGTTTGTCCAGGTTTAGGTATATGGAGAAGCAGCAACTGGTCTAAAATGGAGGAAAAGCTTTCTGAATGCCTCCCCAAAGCTGAACCAAGGGGAGGAGGGGGCAATACACAACACTAAGGCTCTCTGGCACTCGTCCTCATAACAGTACACCATGGTTTAGCAATACATGTAAGTGCAACATTTTCCCATGTTTTTAGGAATAAGACACGTCTATGGAGAGGGATGGACACGGGTGGTGCTGTGGTCTAAACCACAGAGCCTAGTGCTTGCTGATCACAAGGTTGGCGGTTTGAATCCCTGCAACGGGGTGAGCTCCCGTTGTTGAGTCCCAGCTCCTGCCCACCTAACAGTTCGAAAGCACACAGTGCAAGTAGATAAATAGGTACCGCTCTGGCGGGAAGGTGTTTCCATTCACTGCTCTGGTTTGCCAGAAGCGGTTTAGTCATGCTGGCCACATGACCCGGAAGCTGTCTGTGGACAAACGCCGGCTCCCTTGGCCTATAGAGCGAGTTGAGTGCTGCAACCCCAGAGTCGTCTGCGAGTGGACCTAATGGTCAGAGGTATCTTTACCCTTACCTTTATGGAGAGGGATATAATCTTTCAATTTAAGTTTCCTTATTTTTTTTATTTTTTTTCCATGACTATTTGAAAAAAATTGTCAGCTTCCTTGATGTACAAGGTTACCTATTATGGGTACTTCAGATTTCAGCATGAACTTACATTAAACTGAGAAGAGACAGTCAAAGGATGTTTTGCTTTGCTTGGGGAGGGGGGCATTTACTGCCAATTACCTTGTGCAAGCGATATAAAGAGTGTGATACAGAGTGAAGATTTTTAATGCACATAGAGATACCAGAGATTGAACCTAGGAGCTTCTGCATACAAAGCAAATACTGTACCACTGAAGTATGCTTTTGGAATGCTTGCCCATTAGAAAAGGACATAGCAGTCTTAACGTTCTCCCAGCTCCCAAATTAGGACTGTGTTTATTTAGAGAAATCCTCGACTCCCTGTTAATGGAGCCGCAGATGGGTTCACAGTAAGCTACACAAGCGAGCTTTTTTTCCCCCTGCTGCCCCTGTCATCTAGCAATATTAAAAGGAGATTCTTACCCTATGCAGAAAAGAGCCACTGTCGTGTTTGCAGCACAAATGGCATTAATTCATTATGTTCACTTGGCGCCTTCGCAGTTCCTTTCTTTCTTGGAAGTCCTGACTGTTTCAGAATGCAATTCAATGGCTCCGTATGCCTTATGGGATACATTATGTGCATTCAAAAGGAAAAACGTTAAAATGATAGCTATTATGAAAGTATTATGTTCTGAGTAGCTACCACGCCGTCGCCGCAACTCACTGTGACTTTTGATTCTTGTTGTTTCCCGGTGCCTATTATTTCTACTGAGCTTCCTATTCAGGAATTCATACAAGCCATTTAGCACCACGCAGTGCGGCACTTGGAAAAGAATACAATAAGGTGGAATGCCTTCTTCCCCTTACAAAATGCCTATTAGGTGGAATCGGAAGAAGGCATGCTGGCTAAAGGAGGCAGGCAGGTTTTCCTCCTTCTGCTTGCCTGCAATTATTATGTATGCCTTCTGCACATAGTGCGGCGGCGCTGTTGTGATTTCATGTCTTGTTAAAACCAGTGGAGGATATCCATCCATTGAGATACACTGTTTTCACCTTTTCCTCCAGGGCTGACCTCTGCTGCCCTTGTCGCCACTCAGCAGGTCGCGGCTCAAGCTTCTGCATCTGGTATGTTTCCTGCACAACGGAGGTAAATATCCTGTAAACCTCGAAATTATACGCGTAACAGGCATCTTAATAGGGAGGAGGGGAAGCGAACCACGGTGTTTTGAGGGTGGAGGTCTAGACTTCTTGATGGGCAGGTGCTTTCTTTGGTTAATAGCAGCGTTACTCTACTCACGATAACGTTTTACGTGGAGCTGATTCCGTCGCGTAGATAATTGATCGTTGAACCAGACCATGTTCCCTTGAAATATGTGTACATACCGCATTGGCCCAAATACAAGCCGCACCCCCCCCCCCCAAATTCCGACCGTGAAAAGTTAAAGTGTGACTTAAATTCGCGACTTTACACAAATGGACTTTTACGGTATCGCTGCTGGAACAGACATATGGCAAAACGGAACAAAAAAAATGTTCTATTGCCGATTTGCAATTGTAGCAACTGAATTGCGATTTGCAATTTTAGCGATTGTACGGTAACTTTTGCGGGCTTGCAAGATCAAAGGCTTAAATTGGCTCAGAGTTACAATTCTACCAACCGCAGCAATTTTCAGCCTGTAACCCAATTTTAAGGGATCAGCTTATATTCGGACCAATATGGTATATTGCCCATCGTGTCAAAGCAAGTCATTTAGAATTTGCAGACTATTTGTGTGTGCGCGCGCGCACCCTCTTTAAACCAAATGTGCATCTCTTTCTGATGTCTTCTGATATTTGTAAGAAGCCATGTGTTAGTAGAAAACGAGTAGCAGCGCTTTCTCATAGCATGTGACGTGCATTTCTTTGTAAATTATTTATCTGCTTTTAAATAGGATTACTTTTCAACCTTTCAAAGGAAATGGAAACCTTATATATAATTAAATGCAAGTTAATTCGGTGCAGCTTTTAATGACCCAGACTATCCAGTGCTGCTATAAGATAATTCGCGGCCCTCCCCTGCTCTTGTTTACTGAGATTGTTGACATAAATTAATGAGACTGCATTGTTCTGAAATAATCCCTGCCTTTCTTTTCTTTTTCAGAGAATGATAATTTTGGAAATGTGCATCGTCATGTGACTGGATCACATGAAGAAGAAAAAGCGCTTTATTACAGACATCAGTTCCATGGTGTTAATTTGAAATGCCTTAATGGCAGGCAAAAACCAGTCATTTCATTTTTGTAAATTGCAGATTTTTATCACAGAGTAACAAATGTTGCTGTATTTAGACTTCTGTTTTTTTATATATATATGCTTATATAAATATAAATATATATATAAATATATATATATATAAATATATTCTTTACTTTTTGTATCGGTAATCAGGCTCACACAGAGAGCCTGCTGCTAAGTTGTAAACCACAAAGTAAATGAAAAGAAGTGTGTTGTCTTGTTTGGAAAACGTTAACCACAAAAAGGTTGTTTGTTTCTTCTTTTCCTTCCTTTGGCTTTTTTAATTGTAAATAACTAACGTTGCGTATCTGTGTGCCTGAACCTTGCATACCCTTCTAATATTGCCCACAACCCTCAATAGAGGTTAACTGTGACAACGACACTTTGGTACAATTTAGATGTCTATTTGGTATCTCCTATTAAGATGCATCAGTGTAAAATGTTACTGTATTAACTGTCTCATTGTAATTGTGTATTGTGAAGAATATACATTCGGAAGGCATGGGGTTGCCAGTACCACAAAAACTGTGTTGTACATAATGTACAGGATTTTAAATGGGGAAATAATGAGCACCTGTGAATAATGAAATGTCCTTTTTATAATCTTGAATGGCAAATAACCCAATAGCCTGCATACCAGAAGACGTCTGTGATTGTTCTATTACTTGAATAGTCCTGCAGTCTTTTTTTTAATGTTTACAATTATCCCGTTTTAGAAGAGAGACTTTAATGCCATTGCCTGGTTACTTGTTTTATGCTGTAATCTAGTTTATTTTATGTAAAATGTATATTGAATGCTTTCATTTTTATACCTGCCTTAAATAATTTGGCAATCAGAATTAAAAAAAAAATGCTGTTTTTGTACTTTCTGGTGTCGCACCGTTGATTTACAGATCCTTGGGCTTACGCCAGGGTTCAGCAACCTTTCTCAGCGGGGGGCCGGTCCACTGTCCCTCAGACCTTGTGGGGGGCCGGACTATATTTGGGGGGGGGGTGAACAAATTTCTATGCCTCACAAATAACCCAGAGATGCATTTTAAATAAAAGGACACATTCTACTCATATAAAAACACGCTGATTCCCAAACTGTCTGTGGGCCGGATTGAGAAGGTGATTGGGCCGGATCCAGCCCCCGGGCCTTAGTTTGCCTACCCATGGTTTAAGGGCTCCTTCTAATGTTCACATGTTGAACTCTTGACTGAGATTTGAGAAAGGGCAATTCAAATGCACTCTTTCTAGAAAAAGAGGTGCCAGAACTCACCATGAAAGCCTCCCTTGTCCTCTTATAATGACAATGGTGCCCATCTGAGATGTGCCGGAACTGAGTTCTGGCTGAAGAAAGCCCTGGGTGAGGGAGGGGAGATGGACCCCACTGGCCTGACTATCACATTTGGCTCCTTAGCTTAGAGCTTGGGAGCAGTAATTCTGGAGGGGGGAGCTAAGAGCTACTAGGATTCTTTGAAACCTGGCACCACACTAATGTCAGACTTGGGTAGTCTTTTTCCTCCCCAATTTAGAAACGGATTAGTCCACCCAAAAATAAGATGGTGGTTTCTACAAAAATGTGCATCAGCTATGTGTACCCTGAGATGATGAGGGGTGATCCTCACTGTCCTAAATTGGATCACATAATGAAGCTTGTTGAGGCAGATCAGGGCATCCCCAATCTTCCATGTAGCTCTACTGCCTTATTTCCACAAAAAGATATCAAACAGATAGAATCAGAGAAGCGAAAGGACCCCAAAAGTCGTCTAATCCAGTGCCTCCATGACAGATGCTCCATGACATGGCCACATCCCTCTGTTTTTTCCTTCAAAGATGGTACTCCAGGAAGGGGGGCGGGCAGCAAGAAAAAACAGATTTTTTTCCACTTTTAAAATTCACCTGACGTGATAGCTCCTGGATCTACTTGCCTAAGCTTTGGCAGATTTGTTACTCAGGAACACCTTCTTCATGTCCCCAGTTTTCAAACAGATTGCCCCCTCCCCTCCCCCAAAGGGGGGGAAAAACTGGAGGGGAAGAGGTGTGATTTCTGTTTTTCCACCCCTAAATACCTTGCAAGGAGAACTGCTGCACCTCATCTGAACTTTTTCCGGTTTCATCCCCTCAGAAGGTCTCTTGCCTGCAGTATGTATCTGGCAGAAGATAAAAAGCAGAGACTTTAGAACAAAAAGGCACATTAAAAGTTCCTTGCGTGGAAACCCCTGAATGGATCTGCCTTGAATTTGACTGGGATAATCCACTTACAGGAGGGGTCTTCTGCCTCCAGATTTCATTCACTTATGTGACTCGGGGGGGGGGGATACAGCTATTATTAGTTTTCCCCATTCTGCCATTTGTTTACTTAAGCCTGTTCGATACCTCTCATTCCCCCACTCCCAGAAGGTCTAATAGCGGTTGGGGAGGGAATATTTTGCTTTAAAAATGGTATGGGGAGGAAAGATGAGTTAAATAATTCCACCAGCGATACCGTTCTGATCCAATCCCACCTGCTGCTTTTAAGTTTCCAAAACAAAGAGGAGGAGATCCAATCGTTGATCTTCCATATCATGTCTGGGGAAGAGCAATGAGAGTTTTCATCTGTGAAACAACCACCAACTCTTATCTGGTCAGTCCCCACACTTTCCCAGTACAGTGGAACCTCGGTTTCCGAGTGTCTCAGAAGCCAAAGGTTTCGGAAAACGAACGCCGAAAAACTGGACATAATTGCTTCTGTTTTCGAATACACCTCAGAAGTCAAATAGCTGCGTGTTTTTCAATTTTCTCAATGGATTTTGCTGACCGCCCATTGCTCCTTGGTTTTCGAACGTTTTGGAAGTTGAACGGTCTTCCAGAACGGATTATGTTCGAAAACCGAGGCTCTATTGTACTGATAAAAATGGCAGGTAACAGTCTAGCTTTGCAGCGGCAGCCATACCCAACTGAGTGTTGAGTTATTGAGCCTGCCCATGGCTGCATAAGCCAAGTAGCATCAGCTGAAGTACATAATGCGTGCAGTGAACCAAAGAAC